TCCTGTCTCTCAGTGTCCTCTCAAGAGGGACGTACACAGTCCCATCTCTGGTCAGGTACTCTCCATGGTTCGTCCATCCTTCAGGATTCTCTTCCTTCACGAATAGTTCCTGAATCGTGTCTTCCCAAAGGTCCTTCCTGCGCTTGATATCCTCCATAAACCGGTCGCCAGGGGTGTCGTCGAGGACCGCGGGCATAGCGCACAGGAACTCCTCCTTAGAGATTGCCAAAGACATGGTCTGTAGCCATTCAGGGTTTACTGGGTTATTACCGGGTTCTCCATTGAACAGTTTTTTTGGGAGCAGTATGATCCCGCTGTTATCTCCTTCCCCTGTTTTATGGCCGAGTCGTCTCAACAAGGTGTCGGTCTTCCCGTGGGTTTTGCCGGATTTATGCACCAAGGAGAAATCATATTCACTCAGTTCGAGAGACCACCGCGCTTGTCGCCGATTCAGCTTCTTGGTTGTTGTCAAATATTCCAAATTCTTGTGGTCCGTCCAGATCTCAAACCTCTTCTCGCTGCCCTGGAGGAAGTGTCGCCACTCATAGAGGCAGCGCATGATAGCTAGCATCTCTTTGTTGTGTATGTTGTAATTGCGCTCAGTGTCGTTCAGCACTTTTGAGAGATACGCAATTGGAACCCAGACCCCATTTTGTTCCTGGGACAGGACACCTCCAGTTGCAAAGTCGGAGGCGTCTGCTTCGACGCGCCATTCGCCGTCATCGGTTGGAAAGTGTAGTACAGGCTTGGAGGTCACTGTGTTGATTAATTTTCGAAACGCGGCATTTTCCTCCCGATCCCAGCGCCACCGCACGTCCTTCCGGGTTAACTGGGTTAATGGCTTGGAGTGGTCTCCGAAGTCGCGAATAAATTGGCGGTAGAAGTTGAGGAATCCGAGGAAGCTTTGAACATCCTTAACGTTTCGTGGTTGCGCCCATTCCCGGACACCTGCAACCTTGACAGGGTCCATGCGGATTTTGCCGTGGCCCACAATGACGCCAAGATACTCCACCTTGCGTTTCTCAAACTCACACTTCTCTGGTTTCAGGTAGAGGTCGTTACTCTGCAGTATCACGAGGACCTCTCAGACTGTTGCCCAGTGTTCTTCGAGGGTTTCCGAATAGATCAATATGTCATCGAGGTACACAATAACCCATCCTTCCGCAATTTGTCACTCGAAGATCTCGTTCATCATGCATTGGAAGGTTGCCGGGGAGTTCGTTAATCCGAAGAACATCACCAGTGGTTCCATAAGCCGTGGTTGGTGATGAACGCGGCTTTCTCTTCATCGCCCTCTTTAATCCAGATGTTGTTGTAGCTCCAGCACACATCCAGCTTCGTGAACCAGGTGGCCTTGCGGAGCATATGCATGATTTCGGAGATAAGGGGAATGGGGTATTGGTTCTTGACAGTGATCGCGTTCAACTTCCGATAGTCTTGAACTGGGCAAAGCTTTCTGTCTTTCTTCTTCACAAAAAAGAATGGGGACATGAAGGGCGACTTCGAGGGTCGAATTCGGCCAGTCTCCAGGTGTTCTTTAATGAAGGCGTCCAGTTCGCGCTGCTCCGAAACCGAAAGCAGGATGCTATGGCCGCGCACAGGTTCTACACCGGGTTGTCATTTGATAGCGTGATCCCACTTTTTGCGAGTGGGGAGCTTGTCGAAGTCTTGCTTCTCGAACACGGCACGAAAGTCATGAAAGTAATGCGCGGGTACGCTATCCTCCAAGGTCTGCTCGCCCTTGGCCTCATGGGCGGCGGCAGCGAGCTTGGTAGCCACACTGCCCATGGCTCGGGCATGTTCTGCGTCTCGGCGATCCAGTGACTCCTCCGGGTATATCTTGGTGACGAAAATCCGGTCACCCTCTTCGACGGGTTCTTCGTCCTCTTCGGCCCACTCCTCCCAGAGCCGCACGTGCTTGCAAGCCGGCGGACAGCGAGAGAACCTGAGGGTCTTCTTCGCCCAATCAGTCTCCGGGTTATGCTGTTTCAACCAGTTAAACCCGATAATGATATCGCCCTTCCCCGTGTCGGTGATAGCGAAAGGAAACACCTCCGAGTGTCCCTCAATGGTGAGGCGCATGCGCACTACATGGGTGATGCGGCCGCCTTTGTTCGGGGTCCCATCCACGTTATACACCGGCATGGCGAGTGGTAAGGGTTCCAGCTCTAGATTGTTCTCTTCTGCGAATTGCTGGTTTATGAACCCATTGGTGGCTCCGCTGTCAATCAGCCCAACCGCCGTGTACCCCTTGAGGCTGGAGAGTTCTTCCAGCACCACGGGCACCATCATCGAATTTCCCCCAGTTCCTCGTATAAACTGAGGGGATTCTCGCAAATCATCCAGGGCATCTAGGGCGTCTGGGATATAGGCGTCCATGAGGCTTCGGATTAACTCAGGGCACGCTTCTGTACGTCGGGCGGGGTGTGTCCACTGTTTGGCCACTCGCAGTGCGTCTTGTGGTCGCTCGCGCATATGTTCTAGGGTTCTTCGGGCACTGCCTGCAGGGAGTTGGCGCCATTCCGCTTTCTCCATCTGCGGCTTCTTCTTCTTGGGATGGAGGGTGCTTCGGGTTGTACCCGCCCTCCCTTCTCGGGTTCTATCGGTTGCGTTTTCGGACTCTGGTTCACTAGTTTCACTTGCGGGATCCTCGTAGACAGGGAGAATTCCAAATCAATTGGTAGGTGAAACTGGTACACAAGAGTCGGGTATAGTGGGGGACCGGGAGGATGCAACTTTCACTCCTGGTCGTTGGAAAAATCCTTCCCTTCCTCCTTGATAAGCTCTGCCAACATTGTGTGGAATTGCGGATTCTTGGCGAGGTGGTTTGGGCAGTTGCACTGAATATGCCCAGCCTCTCCGCAGTTGTAGCACACGGGGCGAGGGCGGTTGGCCGAGGAAGTGGAAGCGGCGCAATCGATGTCCATGGGGACAGGTTCCTGCGTGGTCGGAGCTTTGGGGGCTGGGGGGTTGTTCACCGGGCTATTACCGGGATTACTGCCGACGTTCCCACGGTTGAGATTCGAAGGGCGTCCCCAGTTATTGGCTTTCGGGTTCGCCGCCGGGTTATGAGCCGGCGTGTGGTATGCCGCGGGACTGGTGCGGGACTGTGGCGTGGAGGTGGTGCGGGTACTCGTGTTGTGGAGGCGCAGACTGTTGTTCATAGCGTTCCACGCCCGTTTGTGTCCGACGTGCTTGATGGCGGCTTCCTTCCAGCCCACATAGTCGGTAGGCATCGTCGTTTGCCCGTAGATGGCCTCGACCACCGGCTTATTAACTCTGCTCTTCATGAGCCGGATTAACATGGTCTTGTCGTAGCTGGCGGCCTTGTTGAGGGTATCGAGGACCGTGAAGTACGCGATTGCGGTGCCCTGCCCTTGCCTCAGGCCTTCCATCTTGGCTTGTGCAATCTCCACCTCAGTGCCCCCCTTGAAGGCAGCGAGGACCGCCGCCTCAAACGCCACCCAGGTAGAGTATGCGCCTTCACCACTGCCGGAGCGCATGGCTTGTACCACATTGTTGGCCCAAGCTTGTGCAGGTCCTTCCTTCATATAGGACAGGCAGTAGGTGATCTTCGCGTGGTCGGTGTCATACACGGAGTTGCCCTGGTAATTGAGCCAACAATCTGATAGGAGCTGGTCGACCTTGTCGGGGTCCCCATTGAAGTGGATAGGGGCGGCAACGCGGGGTTGCTTGGTGTTGACCTTGAGTTCCTTGTCAGCGGCTGCAGGCCCATGGGGCCTGCTGGCGGCAGAGGTAGCGGCAAAGTCGATGCACGCATTGTTGAGGAGCTTCAAAGCCTCCATCATCGTCATGTTCGCCATGGTGCATTCCTGTGCGGCCTCCAACAGGGCCGCCTTCACCGTGATGAGATCGGAGTGTAGCTTGGCAACTTGCACCCCCAGGGTCTCGCTATTGGAATGGAGGGCAGAGAGGTCGCCTTCAATCTGTTCGTAGTCGTCCAGGACTTTGCCGTATAGCCACAGGGTTCTGTCTCCTAGTTCGGCGGCCTGGAATTCCGCTTTGTTGAGCGGGTTTACACGGGGCATCGTTCAGTCGAGTAGTCGGTAGGGGGATACTATCCTTTTGTCAGCACAGCAGCTCATCGGGTTATTATACAACTGGGGCGACTGAACGACAAGGTAGGATTCGAGTTGTGGTCGGGTTAATGCGACGGGGGAGCAACTGGAGAGTAGACAAGGATAGTATGAGGCACTGTCTAGGGTACAGGGCCTATATATACTAGATGATCGTAACTGCCAAGTAACGGAAAGGGGGTTTCCAGGGATAAATGAGATGGGTAGGGGTTGAGGGGAAACCGATCGTAGCAAGATGATTGGGTTTTAAGGGTTAATGCGGAATAAATGAAATAACCCAGAATCATGACACCTCCCTTTGACTCTGTTTACATGGCTTAAATCAATGGACTCTCTCTCGTCTCAATCGCGCTTCCCGAAAGTCGCGTCGTTCCATTTCGTCCTGCACAATTGTCCCTGCTGGTCCATGTTTGGACATTGGAGCTTGTTTTCCCTTTTTCCTTTTACAGAATTCGACCGGGGCCCGTAGTATGTGGTGGGTCCCGATTCTAATTTCTAAGTACTAGGCGCATCTGGAAAACCGTAGTCTCAAAAGACTTAATATTTTCCATTCAACGCAAGCTTAGGAGGGCGCAGTGAATTAAATAAATGTTCTCTTACTGAAGGAAAATTTAGTCAAAGTTTGAATCCCACACCGAGCACGGTGGTTCGTGTTGATTATTTCTTGAATTCAACATCGGTCTCGCAGGATATACATAAATCCAGGCAGCGTCCGAGGCAGGAACAGCTCCGGCAGTGTGCGGCACACATTTGTCTTCGTTATGATGGGATTTATACGAATTGAATAAGTAAGCAAAGAGATGGGGTTCAACTCCCTGCCGGTGCATTCATCCGTGACCCAACAATTTTTTTTGTCTCCACCTACCGGGCATACTTGGTCAAGTACACTTTGTTAGAATAAACGCACCGGTGGTGTACGGTACACACGTCGCTTCTACGGTTTGAAGTCGATCATCGCGACGAGGTGGGGTTCGACTCCCCGCCGGTGCATGTTCGGACAGTGGGGCAATTTTTTTTTCTTTTAAGGAATGTGACCCGGGCCCGTAATATGTAGTGAGTCCCGATACTAATTTCTAAGTACTAGTATGTAGCTTGAAGCAACTGAGGAAAAATGAACGGCTTCCCGATGGCTCCCTGCGAACCAACCAGCCTCAGCGCTCAAGCATCAATTCATAAGTCATCATGAGTGGAATTAGGTGTAAAGCAGGGATGTAAGGCGCCATCAGAGGCGGTGCCTCCTTTTGCCTCTGTTTACCTGCTTACCAGTCAATGACGCTCTCGCCCTCACTCAATCGCGCTTCCCGAACGTTGCGTCTTTCCATTTCATCCCGCAATTGTTTCCGGACAAATGTTCCTTGGGACGGCCCACGTTCTCCTGTTAGTTCCCGACGGGGCAATTGGGCAATTCAAAGGGCAAGACTTGACGTGCATAGGCGCCCGGCGCCAACAACATTGTCTTTCTCCGGCGCATCATGGCTCCTGCAATACTCCTGTTCCTCCCGCCGGCCTGTCTCTATTCAAGATGCATACTTAATCCCGGTGGCACGCATTGACGTCTCTTGGACCACAGCCGTGGCAGACCCACGAGCTAGCAGAATTGTATGCGAAAAGCGGGACCATGTGGTGGAATCAGCCTCTGGTTGCTCAGGTACGTATTTCACGCATACAGTACTTAGCTCGGGACCTGAAGCTGGGAATATTTGCTTTTGCCATCAAACGCAGTACGCGACGGCCCAACAGCAAACCCTGGTATTATCAACGGTAAATCCGCCGCAATACCTTGGCTCGACCCGCTGGTTGAATTACTATCTACCCTTGCAGAACCAACCGTCCCTTAACAGAACAGCCCGCATCCGAAGCAATGCCACAGCCGCAAAACACAGTATTAACACAGTGAAATCCCTCACAGTGCGCCGCGCACCATACACCCGCAGGTCCACGCACCACAACCACGTCCCGCGGAAGTGGAACCAGTCGAGCTTCCGGTATTCGATGAGGTCGATGGGGTCTTCAGTGGCAAGAGGAAGAATGGCGCGCGTGGGGGACGGTGCGCGGAACGCTGGTTGGAAAGATTGTGTGCTCGTGTTAGATCCCCCCAGCGGGCATGCCGCGCGTCAAGTGGGCCGTCATCCGCGGGACTGGCCTCGCATTCAAGTGTGTGTGCACGTCTTCCATCTCTTCTTACTTTTCATTTAAATTTAGCATCCATGCACTCGCGGTGCACGCCCGGCACGCGATGCAGGCGACGCCACAGTCTCGATGGGTGCGCCACCCGACCCGAGACGGTGTGGGTGCTACGAGCACATGCTCTCGATTGGGATGACGAATGAGGAGAGCGTGTGTGAGTGTGGATTAGAGGAGCAGCGTATACTGCGCCATTTTCCGACGTCGGCGGATCCGGATGTCGAATTGTTTTTTGGGGCGGGTCTTGGAAGGCAAGCTTTGATAGTGGAATTATACATAGGTACGTGCCAGTCCGAAGAGCACTGATGAATCTTTGTGTTCACTCGGGTTTCCGCAGATGTATATTTTTAATTTGTTTCCTGTCACATCGGACAAACAAATGTGCGGTCGCTCGTGGGTGTCTGTGATTTATGTGGCGTACATTGTCTTCACCACGAGCCAGTCCCACGACTATGGACCTCCCGGCAGCCTCCACTTCACTCGCATACGTACGACTTAAACCTGCTCTAGCAAAAAAAAAAAAAAAAGCGCGAGCGTCGAATCCTGTGCACCAGGGAGAGTCGAACCACGTCTCGCCGCTACCATTTGGTATGCGCATCCATTTCAGGATCAAGACGACCGCCCATGTTCTGTACACCACTGGTGCGTTGGTTCTTGTGGATTGAACTTTTATAGTTACTGGAATTCTGGTATATTACTCCGAAAAGCAGCATCGCATCCTTGACTGCACCAACACCGGCAGACGCATCTTTCGAGCCTGGTCTTTACAGCTAATGATAGTACCGAAGGCGCGTGCAAAAATTTTCCTATTTGGGAAATTTCCAAAGAATTCCCCATAACTCCGTCAATTCTTAACAGACTTGGATGAAACCTAGCTAGATTCACCAGGCTAACTCATGCGGAATTAGTGATAGAGACAAACTTGTAAAAATATTTCATATTGGGTGATCTAGAATTTTGGTCTGTTTTAAGGTTGAATGTGGTCTAGCAAGCTCAGGACTTGTTCAAACAGCCTGATTTTGTGGGATGGAAGATTTACATGGATTTAAAAAGATGTCATAGAGCCAGAATTGCATAAGGTCCATGGGTGGATTCAATTCTCACAATATTTCCCAATCAACTTGTATTGCCCATTGTCCAAAGTGATCACAAGCACTACAGATTGAATGATATGCAATTTTGACTCTATGACATCCTTAAGAATGTATACAAGTCCTCAATTGCAAAAAAGCAGGCTGGCTGCATAGGTTCTGACCACGCTAGAGTGGATTCATCCCTAAAACAGACCAAAATTCTAGATCATCCAATATGAAATACTTTTACAAGTTTGTCTCTATCACTAATTCCGCATGAATTATCCTGATGAATCTAGCTAGGTTTCATCCAAATCTGTTAAGAATTGACGGAGTTATGGGGCATTCTTTGGAAATGTCCTAAACAGGAAAAATTTTGCGCACGCCTTCGGTACTGTCATTAGCTGTAAAGACGCGGCTGGTATTTCCTCCCGTCGGTGCCTTTGCTGCATTCATTTGTCTTCGTGATACCTATTTTACGTTTAAGATCCTTTTCTTTTAAAGCCAGATGCATACAAATCCGAGTGTCCCAAGTCAAACATGATCGAATACGAGGTAAGTAAAGGCTTGCATCTCTGCAACAAATTGACGTGCCCCAGGCGCTAATCACTTGAATTTGATGCGCGTGAATCACAGGAAGACTCCGAAGAGTGGCTGACTCGTGACTATCACAAGCGGCTGAGGGACCGCTCCGCGGTCCCTCTTCCTCTTTCCGCATTAAAAGTGTGCAGTCCTGCATCAGCAAAAACCTCCCCAGATAATTTGAGATAATTTTGCTCAAATTATATTGGCCAAATAAAATTTGGCAAGAGTTGCAATAATTTGAGATAATTTTACTGAACATGCAAGGAAATTCAGTGAACATTTCCAGAAGAAATAAAATATGTTTAAGGGTGGTGCATATGACCTTTATGGAGCCTACAAAAAAGTAAAATGCTTCAAATCGAACCGCAAAACACGATGCATGGACAACAATGAGAGATCTCGGCGATGAGTCCGACATGATGATGTAACGTAAATTTGTGTCAAGTCCGCAAGTCATTTAAACTCCGCTGATTCCAAACAACATTGTAAACCCGATGCTTTACTCACATGACCTTACTTACTTAATCACCTCTTTCTTGTCCTTGACTTCCACCTACGCTGTCGACTGCTGTTACATCCGCAATATACTACGGTCCTCTTTATCTTGTGCCTCTCTCTCTCTCTAGTGTTTCTTGCCACCCCTGGTAAGCTTCCACTTTTTTTTAAAGATCTGCTCTAGTATACGCACATCGGAGCAATCAGAGATCCACGATCTTTTGATTTTGCTTTGATTCCCCACCTTCCCCGCGTTTCCCCGCCAGGAACGTTCCTATACCGTCCATCCAGCGGTATTCCTCACTGTTGAGACCTCCGTGCTCACAGAAAACTCCCTACAGACTGCCACGTCACCCCGTGCACAGCCACCCCTGCAAAGCTGTCTCGAAATCCTTCAGTCCCGCATCCTCTTGTCACCCGCAGCGCGGCCAAGAGCACACTCCCTGCCTCCTCGTCCTCGACGGAACCCATATCCCCCCTGACACCGCTTCCTCGCTCTGTGGAACCAGACGCGGACCCTGACGCAGGCCCATCCGTGACGGGACCTCCGAGCCCTCAGACTCGCTCATCTTCTTCCCCGACCCGCTCCCCCACCCGCACTCCCTCCCCTCCCCGCCGCTCAGGCCTCTCCTCCTCCTCCGACTCGGACTCTTCGCCCCCACGTCCCGCGATGTCGAGCCAAACTAAGCTCGCCACGGTCGAGATCCGCACGGGCAAGCTTCCGACGGTTCATATTGGCGAAATCACCCCTCTCGTTGCCACCCAGTTCGAGCATGCAATGCTCGACTACGCTGCGGCGAAGGACATCGCCCCCGAAAAGCTCTCATCCCTCGTCTTCGGTTGCTTCTTGGACCAGCGCGTCCGCAACTGGTTCAGCCCGGCCGGGGTTCGCGAGTCCTTCTCCAAACTCTCGCTCGCCGAGTTCATGGCGAAACTTCGCAAGAAGTTTTTACGTCCTGACTGGGAGATCCAGACCCGCGCGCTCATCCTCTCCCACCGCATGAAGGATGATCAGACCTTCAGCGAGTGGGTGGTTGTCCTACAGTCCCTCCAGGCGCTGCTCGTCGGTACCTCCCACGAAATCTCAGACCAACGCTTGCGTCACACTCTCGAAGCAAACATGCTACCAGATCTCGAGCGCGATTATGCGAAGCACAAGGCGGCGAACGCGATCCCGGAGGACGAGTTCGACACGTGGGTGCTGGCGGTGATCGAGCTGGATGAGGAGCGTGTTTATGAAGACGAGAAACAACAGCGCCGCATCGCCGCCCAACTCAAGGCGGACAAACGCAAGGCTGCTGACGACGGCGAGCGCCCAAACAAGAAGGTCTTCTCTGACTCGAAGAAGGCTAACGTCGACTCTTCTTCGAGACCCCTCTCCACCACTGCTTCCTCTTCGTCCCTGGGCAAGAACTGCCCGCCGCTTACTCCTGAAGAACGCCAGCTGCTCGCGGATAACGACGGCTGCAACCGCTGCCGTAAGTTCTTCTGTGGGCACAAGACCGCCGATTGCCGCGAGGAATTCCCTTCGGGCATCGGCTACCGCCCGCGCACTCAGGCCGACGTCGACGCCGCTCGCAAATCCAAATCCACCAAGTCTGTTGCGGTCGTGATGCCCGCTGTCGACGAGATGGAGGATAGCGATGACTCTGA